CATTACATTCTTACATTTTTATTATAGAGTGGAAATTATATATATTATTATAGAGTGTGTATATATATATAATTATATATATATATACACACACACACACACACACACATATAGTTCATTGCTACTGTAACAATAATGTAGTGAGCATTTTATATAGCAAATCTATATATTATATATATATAGTATAACTTAATATAGAATTGAATTACATTTAAGTTAATTTCAATAAAATATTAATAAAATATTATTCTCAATCAACATAGACATCTTGTAAAACTGTAATCTTTAATTTTTTTATTTTCAGTAATTTTGTAATGTGCTTGTCATTTATTCGTTTTTTTTAAATATTGCTATTTAGGTTTAATTTATTTTTATTTCAGTTATTATTTTATTTGAGCTATATTTCAATTAAAAATGAACCTAAAAAGTTAAAAGTTTCAGCTTCAGTTAACAAATGTACTTAATATGTGAATCAGACTATCAATCCACCCTTAACATGCCTCAAAGAGAAATGAGAGACATGCTCAGTCAACAAATACTCTCAAATGCCTCAAGAAGTATTTATTTTTCTGGAATCAAGCAGGGAATACATAGAGACGACCAAACTGAGAAAGATCAAATACAAGATCCTGGAGTTAGGGGGGGGGTTACTTTAAGTAAACTCTTTTGTTATTTCTAAAATGTGTTCAGGCTTTTACACACTAATTGTTTCTTGATCCTGGTTTCTTTTGTGTTGCAGCTTAACTTTGTGAGGTTCTACTTGTCACTGAAAATCACGAGCGGATCGTTTACCTGGATAATGTCACAGTGCAAGGTAAAATCCATTATTATGTGTGTAAGCCTCTGAAATGGACACTAACCTTACACTTGTACTCGTGTTGCACTGATACAAAAGCTATCATCAAGTTGATCATGCAAGCATGATCTCATATGTCAAGTGCATGAAATGAAACCACTACACTGCTCTATTCACTGTGATAATGAATGATTTTTGTTACATCTGACTTACAGGAGATATACAGGAACTATATAACATAAAGCTGAAAGCAGGACACGCTGCTGCG